ATGATCCTCAGAATTAGTGAGATGTCATAGTTTTGACCTTGCTCTGAGCAATGAGGACTCAGAGCWAAGAGGACTCTTCAGTTTCTATACTCCATTATCATGAGTCCAAGATTTTGCCTAGATAATTCAGAGATATCAGGCACGAGCAAGCCAAACACCAGCAGATATCTCTAGCCCTGGGATTCTGTGGAGATGGGTATTCAGCAATATGGATAGAAATGCAAGTGTCATAGCAGGGGTTCAGTGTGCTTGTACCAGTTGCCCCCCTGTGATGTTGAAATAACCCCTGAGAAGGTGACGTTGTCTTCTGCCCGGAATAAGGAATGCCTGAACTGTGTGCTAAATGTTCAAACTATGTAGGTTCATGAGGATTTTGACAGGGAATGCAGAGATCTCTGTTCAAAGAAGAGCACTTATCCTTTCTCTTCCCTGAATGCTTAARCTTTAAMATATTATCTGAAAGAGGTAAGAAAAGCTCTTCAAATAGGACAGGAAGAAAATTCCAAACCTGACATAGCAGACTGGCCACAAGATCCATATGCCAAATGGCTAATACTATATTGAAAAACCTGAATGTGTACAAACTATAAAACATACTAATCCTTGGACATTTTTCTCTAGTTTACTATTTGGAGGCAAAAGAGTTGTTTGATGAAACCTTTCAGATCTTTGAAAAAGCAAATGAATATAAAATGTTGGACATTTTATGTGTTAAAATAACATTAGGCATAGTCACAATGTCTTGTTCCAAAACCTACAACTTAGAATGAAGAAGGGGAAAGTGTTATTATTCCAGTTGAGCTTAGAATACATTTTAGTTGTTTTGCAGTAACTGCAAACATAATTAGAAACACGTGTTAGCTGCATCATTTCTCTGAAATGCAGAGATCCTAGGCACTATTGAAATTGAGTCTTTCCTAAGAAGCCTCAAGTGCTTCTCTTTAATAATGATTATGAATAATTGATGTTAACCTGTAATTTCTTGGTAGTGGCTTTTTTATCTTCTATGCTTMTTTTGTGTGCTTTTTTATCAAAAGACTGTGAAGAGTTAGACCAACATTTAGATTGCATCATCTATTTAAGTTTAAAATTTGGCTGAATTTTATTCATTTCTGGAGTGTCACAAAAGAACTATTAAAACCCTTGAATTTTAAAAGGAGAGATGTTACTAGAATTCTTATTTATATCACATTTGAGTTRCAGAAACCTTATTTTGGAATTTCAGTTGAGTTCTGTGATGTATTGCTTTGAGCTGACTGTCAGAAAGAATTGAATATAACCTGGTAAAATGGAGAATGCCCAGTGCACTTAATGCAGGAATGAGGAAGTATTGTTAAAGTTAGGAGCAGATTTCACTARTTTTGCTCACATGGATGAATACCTCATTTATCAGGTGGGTCTTCTCCCTGTGGTTTTAACTCCCGTTCATGGTCTGACATGTTCTCTTTCTTGCAAACATCTATATACACCCACCTTGGAGAAAATACTGTGGTYTTAGATCCAGGGACTAGTGTGCCTGAAGTCAAGCTGGAAGGATATAAAAGAGGTCCCTCTAATAGTRTGTAACCTCATATAGTGCTCACTTTTCCTTGGAATTTTCTTCAGTAGATCTCAAAGACAGGTCTTTTCCCCAATGATGGGGAATCATTGGTAGCAAGGGAATRTGAACTTATTACCGATGTATGTAGAGAGAGAAGTTCCTCAGATCTATTGAACAGCTATTTGAGCATAAGTATGATCAGTTTTTCTCATGGAATATTTACAGGATTCCTGCTCAGAGCCAGAAAATCTACCTTTTCCTGCTAGAAAAATATTAAGGATATGTCCTTCCTTTTAACCTTTTCAGCAAAAATTTCTTCCACATTTTTTTGCAAAAGGACAGGATTATCCAGCACTTTACTTYGTGGGACTTTTCACTGACTGAAAGAAACAAATTTATTTTGGAATTTGGGTTAGGATTTGATTTTGTTTTGTTTTGTTTTTCTAGTAGAAAAGCCAGATTTCAAATTTTGAAGCAATAAAAAAAAGTAACAAAGCTAGAAAATTACACTCATGTTAATCAGTTTAAGATGAGGATAAAGTAAAAGAAAGAGAAGATTTTTTAATAGGATAAAATAAACATAATAGATACTTTAAATTAAAAGGAAAASATTCAAGTAAATGCAGTAATAAGACACATACTTCCATATTTTCAATGTAATTACATTTATGGGAATATGGGGAAACCGAAAGCAGAAAGTTGCCAGGCAAACATCTGTTAAAAGACAAATCTTCGTCCAACTTTCCAGTAATTCTGCATTTARATAACGGAAATTTATTCTGGTTTGTCCAGATTATCTATCAATGTTGAGTGTGTTTGAAAATGTATGGAGTCCCAGTTCATCCTGTAATGAGAAAGAAAATCTGAGGAAAGCAACAWATAAGTTAAGTACAACTGATTTGGAATGGTACTGCAAGACTCAACCAGTTACAAATATTTTTCCAACTGTATTCCAGATTTGAGAGATCCGGTGTAATAAAATTACCTCAGCTCTTTGCAGGGCTTTATGGTTATCACAGGACTGAAAAAAAGTCACCCTCAGTTGCCATTTACAAACCCTTTTCTTTCTCACTACTCCATCTTCTCATTCTCTATACTTTTCAGTGTAGCAACGTAATTAGTTACAGTGAAGAGGCCTACATTTACTTAAACCAACACTATGAGAGCTTCCGAGCAATAATATGAACTCTGAGTGCATAATTACTGCTGATTATTTTATCATTAATGTGGGACAGGCCACTTTGAAAGAATTTCATATCTGTATATTGGGGGCATAATCTCTTGTCTGGTTTTATTACTACAATTAATACATTTTTTCTGGAGTAGGATCACATGTTTTCACCCTTCTTCCACAAACTATTTCTTCCCCTCAAACAGTTGCCTCTTGCCCTTCTATCCTCCCAATAATCTTGGAGAAAACAGTATACCAGGCTTTATTTACAAATCCTGGGACCAGGTTATCCCAGTGGTGTCTCTCTGATGGCTCTCTCAAYAATGCTGTGGTAATAGGAACTATCTGGTGATGAAACTTTCCACATAACTCTCACTGCCTTTGACGTGCTGGCATGCCATCCATGCAGTCTATCTTGTGTAGTCCTCAATGCTACAAGTCTGCATATTGTGTGGGACAAATCTTACTGAAATAGAGTTCTTAGCTCTGAACTGAACTGAGAAATTAGGTGTCAAACCTRTAAAAAGTTTATGGACATAAAGAAGAAGACACAACCTCCGAGACAAGTAAGTGTATTTCTGTGGAAACATTGTCAAACATGGCATAGATCTGAAGTGACAACCTAAGCAATAAAAAAAATTGCAACTCACAGGTACAGATCAGAGGAGCATGGAGAAAGATACCTTAATGAGGTACCACCCAAATAGGACAGCTATATCTGCATATGAGGCTAAGAAAATGGGTTGAGAAAGRAAAATATTTTCTTTTTCACAGAAGAGCTAGTTAGTATTTTGAACTTAAGTGAACATATCTTCAATCATAGAGAATGCCAAAATAAATATTTGAGAGCTGCTTATCTTTAATCTCATGCAAACAAATCAAAGGCAGACCTTCTTTTCTTTTGTCCAGGTCTCAGGATGCAAAGATTGTCTTTGCTACCATGAAATATTTTGAAACAGATCTTCAAAAATACTTAAGCAGTTATCAAGAAAATWTATACCTCCTTTGGCATATTAACTTGTCTTCCACTTTTTGACCATAGGATTACTTCTAGATGGTTTCTTCTGAATATTCTGAAGGTTGAATTAAAAATTCCAGGATGTTCTTGTGTGTGAAAATCATTGTAGCAATTTCACTTCTTACTTCAGAAGCTCTGCATAATTCACATTTCTTGGCAGGGTCCCATAGAAGTTGCAAGATTTGACTTTCAGCCCCATAAGGTTAGCYATGGACTTTTACAGAGCTGGATCAGCTTGCACTTTTTAATTGGATTTAACCTGGTTCTCCTCACTTGTGACCAAAGGAGGGAAAGAAAGGTTTCCTAAAGAAATATTACACAGAACAGTGAGGCCAGCAGGACCAGGGCAGTGATTGCCTGCACTCAGCAGTGAAGCCACACCTCAAATTCCATGTTCAGTTTTGGGCCCCTCRCTACAAGAAAGACATTGAGATGCTGCAGTGTGTCCAGAGAAGGGCAACAGAGCTGGGGAAGGGTCTGGAGCACAGGTCTGATGAGGAGCARCTGAGGGAGCTGGGGGTGTTCAGCCTGGAGAAAAGGAGGCTCAGGGTAGAAATTACTGTTCCCTACAGCTGTCTGAAAGGAGGTTGTAGCCAAGTGAARGTCAGTGTCATCTCCCAGGTAACAAGTGGTAGGGCAGAAGGAAATGGCCTCAAGTTGCACCAGGATGGTCYAGATTGGATATTAGAAAAAAAATCTTCACTAAAAGCATGGTCAAGTGTTGGAACAGGYTGCTCAAGGAAGAGTTTGGGTTACTATCCCTGGAGGTGTTTTAAAGACCTGTTTGCTCTTTGTGTTCGCTGAAGACCAGCACAGGCATGTATGGTAATGTGTTCTGTTACCTGGGGATAATACAGTTTTAGCCCAGCTCCTTTTTTTACAACCCTACTGCCTTTGCAGACTCATAAATCCTCAGTTTTGCCTGTGCAGGCTGGTGGATTTATACCAAAACGGAACAAATTTAGCAATGTGGAAAAGAGGTTATATAGAGGCTGAGTTCAAAGTCAAGATTTCAGAAAAGAAATAGTACACTGCAGGTAGCACTGTAGCTGCGACAGACACATTCTTTATGTTTTTATATTTATGCTTTGAATTGTAACATAAACAAKCTTTTTTTTGTCTGTGTATTTGATATGGTTGTGTATTTAATTTGTTATGTTACCAAAGTCTGYATAAACTGAAAGGCTGCCAATTACAGTTATAAAAAGTTGCAGCAGAGTGAAAATATTAGTGCTTAGGCAATTTCATAACTGTCTGTTTGCCTTCCATAGCTATTTTCTGCTGGACAAATCACAGACACCAGAGTAGCTGAGCTGAAGGAACAGTACACCCTGCTGCATAAGGCTGTGATAAGGTATAATATTCCTTTTTAGACTTTCAGTAGCCAAAGCATTACATATTTTAAATCATCTTCTGCTCATTCTGAAGCCTATTTATCATTTAAGACTTTCGTACTGTGATAGTTCATAAGGAAGGAGCAAGAATGCAAAGTTGAAAATCAGTATTATACAACAGGAACTTTCAAGGTTATTTGTGGTTTAGCCAGTTTTAATTTGAAAACAGTCTTTAATTGGAAAAATGCAAACATATTTCTACATATTTCATGTATTAAACAGTGTTTTTTTGTATGGAACGTTTATTTATCTAAAGGCAATCCCTTTGTTCCCTTGTGTGTATAGCAAGTGGAATATGGTCTGAGTGTAAATAAGATCCAGCTGTCTTTTCTGTCACACTCAAAACTAGCCTTAACAATGTGCACCAAAAGCATGAAAATATTAGATGGTAGATTAGAGCTCTAATTCTTTCCATCATTCTCACAGGAGTGTGAAATRGCCATACTTCTGTAAGAAAGTGGATCAGAGAGAATCATGTCACATCCTTTATTAGATGTACTCGTGTCAAAGCAAAATGCTCATGTGTGAACAAGCACTAATTCCCACAGATTAATTTCTCCTACCACTAAAAAAAAGCAAGGAAAGTCAATTACATAAAATCAATGATTGCCAGTATTTTTTAAGGATCAGTCATCAAAAGTGGAATTCACTTGCCCTTATGTTAGCATCAGTAGACATGCTCATCTGAATGAGGTACCAAGGGTCCTTAACAGTCAATCAAAAGAAATAGGGACCACACACTTCCTCCTTACACAGACATCTGCAAGCATCTGGTTTTCTTCATCAGCTATAAAGATGCACTGCACTGCACACTGCACTTCCCTGGTGGGAAGTGCAGTGTGTGTGTATATTATCTTCCTGCAATGAACCATTCACAGAATCAATGTCACTTTTTAATTGTTAGTTCTTCACCCTAACATGTGCAGTACAGTTCTGTGAATCAAGAACTTATTTTTTCACCTACAGTTGAATTTTGCTTGCAGTTCAGTTCTATCTTTTCCTAATTAATGTCCTTCTGTCCAAGTGTTGTTGCAATGCCATGTTTAAAMAAATGATTGCAACTGATCTCTCTGATATACAATACAAATTTGTATTATTTTTGTCAACTATGAGAATGCTATTATTCTGTGTGCAGGTGGTTTCTGAGGCTGTTGCCAGTGTACACACACCTMTAAGTGTATTGTGCAGTCCACTGTTTAGTGGCAAAAAGTCCTTTAGGTCTTGCTTTCTGTTTTGCACAATTTGGTGTTCTGAAAAGCTGAAATATGTCMGACCTGCCAGATAACATCTTTTATAATTTTCTTCAAAGTGTYGTGTGCTTTTGAATATGTGTTTGCTGAGAACAGGCTGTCATCCCATTGTGGTGCTGTCTCATTCACCCACCTTGCAGCAAGGCTGCTTCTGAAATTGGAGTATCTGAGCTCCTTTTAATCACTCAATTATGTGGCCTAGTTGTAGGTTTTTATTTATATTATCTCAGTGTAGGAACCTAGTATGAACACTCTAGTATGAATAACTCAGATTGGAAGATACTCAGATAATAATGAAGATGCATTGGCAGATTGGGAATCTTATCTTCTTAAGCCTCTRCTAAATTACTAATTATTTCACAAATTCAAAACCTGCCACATCAGACAGCACAAAYCTACTTTTGCAGTCATGTGATTCTATATGTATACATTGTGTAGGTGTGCAGTTATTTGTTTGTTGTCTTCAATTAAATTTAAGTCAACACATGAAAAAAATACTATTGACATCTGTAGGGAGCAAAATCTAGATTCAACACCCAATTCTTGTTTCTATTTTTCCTTTTTTTTACATTATCTTGAGAAAAGTCAATCCTAAGAATTCTGTTTTTATGGATTCACTTATGTGTTTATGGAACTGTATGTGAAATGTTTGTGTTATGAAAGAATTGTGTTTGAAATCATGTGTATTACTACAACCAACTGTATTTTCTCCTACAGTTCCATACATTCTGTTAGAGATTTAAAAAAGATTTAAATAGAAGTTAGAATCCAGTGTCAATAAGTCAGTTTATTTTTCCCTTCATATATTTGTGTAAATACATCACACATGAAATTATTTGTTCGTGATGAAGGCCCACTCTGTTTTCTGTTGAAGTCTGTGGTTTTCTTATTTTCTAGTTTAGAAAAAGGAAGTGGTTACCTAGGGAGAAATGCTGTATGAATCAAAACTTTTTCTGACATATTAGTTCAACTATGTTTGTGCAGAATAGCCAGTTTTATATATTGTATTTTTATCATCATTTTACCATCTCAACTCTATTCTGTATTATGTGATACATAATTTTGTTTTTCTAAGACATAAATGGCAAATTTGAGCCAAAATTTATTTCTAGAGTTTCTCAGTATGGGAAATTCCAAGTTCCTCTGTTTAAAAAAAATAAATTGCACTATGTTTTTAATTAATAAAAGGCAAGTGATAGAGTTTTTTATTCTTCTATATAATTTGTTACTTATTTTAGTATACCATAATATAAAAGTTATAATGAAGTAATATTGAGAATGCATACACAATGATTTCTWTAGCATAAAGCATAGGTTTATGTGTGGTGCATTGTATATGCATACAGAATTTTCATACTGTAGTTCCCTTAAAGAGTTTTCCATAATAATCAATGTATTTTACTAACAGCCTTTAGGATTTTTTTCAGCTATCACCACATAGGTTCTTAAATATGAGTACCAGTCTCCTGACACTGCCAGGAGCTAGTTTGTTATTTCYGTGGAGCTAGTCTTGGGTGATATAAGTCAGATCAGATCACTGATCATTGATCTACAGGCTTCCACAGATGTCCAAAAATGTATTTTSAGTTATTTCAGATCCTGGTAGCACTACAGCAGTAGCAAGATGTAACTCATTACTGGATAAATGTCCTGGTATTTATTAAGAACTTAGATTTGTCATATGGGTCAGACTGGGCCTTGTCCTGGTGAATACTTTGCTATTGTAGGTCCCCACACTGAATCAGATGTAGGCTTTGGCACTTAGGATAAATTGGATTCCCTGTCTCTTCATTTGTGTCTAGGAACTGTTAGACAGATAAATTAGACTAACAGTCTATCATCTGGTTAAAATTAGATGAGTTGAATCTCACTCCAAGTGTAGGTATGCACAAAAAAACCCCTCTGAGACCAGATTCCACTGCTCTCATGGCATCAAAGGATGATTCAAGTTTGAACAGAACTCAGGAAGTCCAACCTCCTGCCCAAGGCAGGGTCAGCTAGGAGGTCAGACAAGATTATTCAGATCTTAATTCCATCTCATCTTGAAAACCTTGAATGAAATATTATAGTTATGTAAAGAAGAATAAACACAAACTTTTGCTTCTCACTGAAATTCTARATTTGTCTATTTAATATAGTTTACAGGAATCTGAGACCCGGCTGTTGCAGGAAGCTGAACGCCTGAGAGCAGAACTGGAACGACGTGAACAGGAAGAAGCAGAACAGTTCCCCGAAGGAACCTCCAGCGAAAGTTACCAAATAAGGAAACARCTTCTCAGCTGCCGAAGTGAATACAATGCTATTAGAGGAAGAGTGTATGAAAATCGGGTGAAGGTGGAATGGTAGGTGAAAGTGGTCAAATGCTGCTAATTTTATGATCGTTAATGTAGAAAGGTGATAACATGGAATAAAATCCAATCTCCTTTATATCTTACATGGACAGATTTCTTGATGGCTGTTGTTAAACAAATTGCTACAAACTTTCCCCAGTAACAGCAACATTTCAGTGACAAATAAATTTACCATGTGTGAGATTTGTRGATAGTTTTAAATTTAGAACATGGCATGGTGTCCTTTGAAATGCTGTTTAAAATTTATTACATTGCACGAATAATATTTAGGTAGACAAAGTTCACATGAACAATTCTAATCTAGGACACCTTCAATACAAATGTTTAAAGTCTCAGAGACCTGTTGGCTTGGATTTTATGGACCAATGTCATAAAYAGACCCAATGCTATTTTTAACATTGGTAGCACAGTATATTAAAGTTTTTCTATTCAGGTATTCAGAGTGGGAGAAGTACTTGTATATTCCAGTGTCAGAAAAATGATAAATTTGCTGTGAAATAAGTGAAATCTTAACATTTCTATATAAGGGAAACACTCCAGAATAAGCTTGGTATTGTATACATTTCAATTATCTGCATACTTCATAGTAAAATTACAAACTATTGCATTTGTGAAAATATGTGCTGAACTCAGATTGGCAGATGAACTCAGATTGGCAGATGAACTCAGATTTTTATTTTGGGGGGGCTTGTTATTTTTTACCCATCTTTGATCCAGCCATAATGTCATTGGTGTGTGTGTGTATAAATACAAACATGCAATGTCAGCATCTCAGCAGTTAAGATTATAATTCTGCAAGAAAAACAGGAACACACTACACACTGCATGGAGCAGATTTTTCTGGCAATTCTTTCTTGATTTTTTTTTTTTGTTGTTTTTTGGAGCCAAATGTTTGCTCTAAGAGGAAAAGAAACTTGAGCAAACTGGGAGTGGGAAAGAAACATGGGAAGCATCTGGAAAAAATTATTTGCTATGAGATAACTAAGAGACATGAAATTTCCTGAAATAATTATTAAACACAGAATTTATTGCWATTTCCAAGCAGTTCAGAAATGAGGTCTTCAAAAGTATCATGCTTTTTAACCATTTGTCCTCATATCTAATGAACATTTTTCACTGATTTTGCATCACTTTTTCAAAAATTTATGAGGATTAGTATGTTTAGGGAATCATATTTTCCCATTCTCTATTTTCTACCTCTAGTCAAAAGAAGAATTCTMTTCTATACAAAATGCAGTTTTAGGCATTATTTCAATTACCCTTGCACATTTACTGGATTGATTTTTATATATGAACTGAGTATCTTGCAGATTAAAAATCCAYTTTTTGGGTCGGTCATACTATAAAAAGGGTTCTTTTACTGTAATAAGAAACTTATGTATTGCCTGGGCTCAAACCCAGCTGTATAGTCTGAACAGAGGTCCATGAGGTGCATTATTTAATGGAGAMCAAAAGTGCAGCCCCAGCCACTTGTGATGTGGGGATTTCATGAGCCAAATACAGTCCTCTGTATTTGGGAATCCTCACTTGACCTCTATTCCTTTGAACTTCTCCCGTCTCCTCCAGAACAAACTTCTGACATTGCAACATGCTGGGTGATGAGTTCCACAGATTAACTACGTAAGAACTGACACCTYCTTGCTTTTTTTAACCTGACTCCTACAGCTTCATTCGGTGTCCTGTGGTTCTTCTCTTGGATAGGACAATGTGCATCTGATCCTGTCTTCATTTTCACTGCTGCAGGATGGTTTGATAGGTCTCTTTTGTAGAACCCCTTCCCCCTTTAATTTGTTGGTTTTTCAAACTGGAGAGATTGCTTAGTTCTTCCTTGTCTGGAATCTGTTTTGTGCCTGTTGTTAGCATCGGATCTTATGTGCGTTGTGGTTGGGGAGTTAAAAGGATGTGCCTTGGTTATGTGTGAATTGCTTATTGGGAGAGAAATTCCAGAAATAYTTGAGAAATTATAGGGCTTTTGATTTGAAATAATGTAGAATGAATGAGTACAGTATGTGTGAGGAGTGGGTGAGTGAATGTAGCGGGGAAATGAGAAATGGACTATGAAGAAAAACAGATAATGGGTGTRAGTACATATTTGTAAAGAAGGGATGGGTTTGATGCCTGTGAAAGACAGTGAAAATGAATATCTGAAATAGAGTTGTGAGAAGAAGATGATCTAACAGTAACACTGATGTACAATGAAGATCTATATGCCTGCTGCTTTTATCCARAGATTAAAGCAACATTTTCTGAAATTATCTGTGTGCACGCACAGTGTCASAGAGGAGAAGGGAAGCTACATCAAAGGTATTAGAAGTTTACTGATAGGTCACTGCTTGGTTTCCTTAATTTCYCAGGATAAAAAGTCATGGTCCAGCCTCTCTTGGCCCTTGATCTCTCTGGAACAGAGTTTCCCTTGTTGTCCAACTGTGTTAATACAGTCCCAGCTGTGCTTGGCACTTACAAGTAAATTTCTCTTTGGGAATTATGACTAATGGCTGTTCAGTCTGAAAACAAGCATGTTGTTTATTTACTTTTGTATGTATAGCAGGCAGGGAACATGGACAGTTCCATGAAAGGTTTTGAAAGGTTTATMTATGTCTATTACCTACTGTTTTGTCATTTTTTAGAATGTCTGCTCAGACCTACTGCTGGAYGGAAAGTGAGAAATCTAATCTTATTTCCCTGGTTCTGTAACCCCTTTTTTCTCTGAAGCATCCCTCTTATCTCTGATGCCTTTGTTTCCTGCCTCAATTCACTTCCTCTGATAGCTAAGAGTACTTAGCACCTTTTTGCACTCAAATTCACATCAGGCAACAATGAAGGCTCTCTCTTGAGGAGTCATATGGATATGCCATAATATCAGCAAAAGTCTTGAGGTTTCCTAATATTCCATTCTCTTCTATCCCTTTTAAATTTCCTATTTGTTTGTTTTTGTAAACACTTTTTCTCTTAGACCTGTCCTAACAGCTGAAGGTAATATTTTATCTTCTGTTTTAATTCTTTATTGTTCCAGTGAATAGTCAACATTCCCTGAATAAATTTAAATTGCTTTCAACATTRTAGTATTGTCAGGTTTTCAGGAATTGTGTGACATTTTTAATAGCTWGAATAGGTACATGAGGTATTCAGAAGCATCTCTGAATACTTCTGACCTTTCAGCAGACAGGGAAGTCACCCTGAGGGTGACTGCAAGGCTGGAGTGTGTTCCCACTGTAGGCATGTGCCTCCTCTTCCAGTTTGTGGCCTGTTCTGCCATATGGATGYACTGGGCTCATTGTTAGTGTGTCTGCCCAAGAGCTCAGCACAGTGGGAGAGCAAGGGTTGGAAGATTTTACTGAGCTTATAAGGCTTGGGCCACTATCCCAAAGTCAGAGCTGACTCTGGGAGTATTCTTCCTCTCAATAATTAGTTGGCAAGGGTAATAAAGTAAAAGGAAAAAGKGATCTACACTTAGTTCTGCTAAAATTGCATTCAGAGATGTAAAATTTCTTCATGCAATTGATAAGAAGCCTCAGGAAGTAAGAATATAGACCAAAAAAAGCAAATTAGGAGAACAAGAAGGAAAGAATCAGTGTGATCAGCAAGGATTTGTTCTGGTTTGAGGAGACATTTCATTTTAACGTTCATGTGATTCTTGGAGTTCTGGTTTGTGAGACAAAATAAAGAAGAGCTGCTTTTCTTTATTATACAATGGTATCAACAATAGTTTATTGTTGAGATATAATAGATATTAAATCTATCATCTAAAGAATACGTTCAAAAGTAAGCAATTAACTTGTACTAAATTTACCTATAACAACACCTTTTGAGACTGAAGTTGCCTGATGCTTGAAAACAATTTTATTTTAAAGCCTAGGTCCAATCTCCATCTCTCTTAGCTATTTSTGCAGGTAACAAAATGGCTCTTTASTGAAGTCCTCTGTGAATTGCATGCAAGTCAAGATTGAAGAACTCTTTTGATACTTGTAATAATTTCTGTATGTCACTCAATAATTAAAAAGTGAAAAGTKAAGCCTGTGTCCATAGCTTCTCTAGCAAAGAATTGCAGCCCTTAAGTAAAATAAATTGAGTCACAGCTGAAGTTGTTATCAGCTGGTCTTGTGATTGCATTTTCTGGTACCTACAAACTAATTATAGCTCAGAGCCTTACAGGAAGCTCATGCCGGCAGCTTGTCAGCTGTGATAACATTTACCTGTAGTCACTGGATTTTAGTTGTGAGGTGCTGAGCACCTTCTTTGGATTTCCAAGCAAYAAGACCGAGTAAAGGAAGGAGTGAAGGAGGTCATTTTCTTGTATGATGGGACTTTTCGATGATAACAGCTTTGTGATTACTTTGTGAGCTGAGGAAGTGAAATGGRCCTTTGTTGACAACTCCCACTACATTTCTTAATCTCTCCATCTTAATATTATTTTTTTATTTCTGTGTCAACTTGCAGCTGTAAACATCTCTCAGGGAAAAATCTGGAATGTRTTTTTATTAATGGCCCAGTTTTCCAGCTGCCCTTTTTTGACTCATTACACCTGCATCCGTGATGGCTTTTCATATACAGTACTGTTATTAGGCTTCATGAAAATATGAACGCCAATGTTAGAAACATTTGCACACATGAATGCTTTAACTTAAGGGTTTTATCTTCTTTTCATTTTGTGTATCATTAGAGGTATAATAATAATAATAATAATTAAATCCACATGATGTTGAAAAATACATGCATCAAAGAAGAGCTATAAAATAATGGGAAATTCAAATGCTAATGCCAGTTGCAGCTGTTTTTTTGCTGTTGTGATTGATGACCAAGTAAAACAGTCATGAGGCTGATATCTATATATCACAGATGAAAAGATTCAAATGCTAAATGGAAAGACCAGAATTGCTTTGTTTATCTTACATTAAGCTTCTGTGTTCATCTATGAAATCAGACACTAAATTTAAATTCTTTGAAAAATCTTATTTGATTCCTAAATGTGTGTTAATCATTCTGCCTCCCCTTTAGAGTAGACAGAGAGAAATATATTATCTTCAACTTATGTCACCCTAAAACCGTCACCTGTGATATCACATGACCTGCCCTTTGTAGGTCCCAGTTTTTATCCCTGACAGTAAAGCATGTTAATGTAGGGCTGCCTGTCTGACTTCCAGGTATGGGCAGCTGGATCAAACTCATTGCTCAAAACGGAGAGATTTAACTTCTTTCTTTTTACCCATTTCTTTTCTTTTCACACTTCCACTGGCTTTTGTGTGGAAATAGTTGGTCTGCCAGTTATTWAGGTAACTTGTTTCTCACCATTCACTGTTGCCTTTGTTTATGTCACAGAAAATGAGGTGTTCAAATCATTTTACTTTTGGTGGATGGAAAAGTCTTTGTTGTGAAACTGGAAGGGTTCCATAGGAATCTGTCCTCATGAGTGAGGAATGTGACAAAATGAAAACAGTGTCAACTTTGCTCTCACTCCTGATCTTTGGTATTGCTCTTTTGATCGTCCAGCGTGATATGAAAGAGGGCACAGCACGGACTGACCACAAGCCATGCAGTACCTCTTTAATCATTTTGCACAGGACTTATTWAATAATATTTTGTGGCAGTCAAAGTATTATGGGCATTTGTGCAAAGTAGACACTCATTATCCTTAGTGTGGTTATGCCAGTCCCTAGGAGTTCAACTAGGAGTACTTCTAAAATGTGTTTGGAATATTATTTTTGAATTTTGGATTTTTTTTTAAATTAATTTTATCAATTTGGGGGGAAGATTGATTTAAATTCAACTTTTTTCMTTAAAAGATTTTGTTTTGCAAACTTGTTCACTCTGTGAGTGTTCAAACATAGGCATTCAAATAAGTTTTTAGACTTTACTAGTCCCTCCAGAGGCATACTTTTACTCTGCCCATACAAATATCATACATGTTGTATATCAACAGCATCTACTTTGTGTTTATTTTCTCTTTGCTCTTCATCTGAACCAGAGCTGCTTCTTCATGGGGGGAGTGTTGTTTTGTTTTGTTTTGTTTATATTGCAACACCACCAACCCAGTTCTCTTTTTTTCACTGTTTCCTTTCCGTAACTGGAAATGTGTTGTCTGAGACTTCCAGGTATAAGTTTCACTCCTTTTATTGGAGAATTCAAATATTAGAAAGATGAGGGTGGGAGTGGTGGAATGGGGGAGGGAACCTTAAATCAACACTGCTAAAGGGGTGAGTATAAGGTCCTAGGGATGGTCTTCCATGAGGCTGGCTGCTGGGAGACTTCTCTCCCTTCCCATGACCACACACTTTCTGAAACCTGAACCATCACCACCATGCAAAGTCTTACGCTGCTGCTGGAAGGTTTCAGAAGAAAAAAAAAAGAAATAGCAATCAGCTAGCTGTATCTTTGCTGTTTCAGCCCCCTTATGAGGTAACTGTAATAGCTGCTTTGAGGTGTGGGGCTGCCCAGGAGTCCCTTGCTGTAGTTTATAGCTCCAAGTGCCACAACTATTGTATGGAAGTTTGTCCTGTTCTCTTAATGACTCCCTAATTTAAAGAATTATTTATTCCACCAGACTGCCCTGAGTCTCAACAAAACTCGACCAGCACATCCTCCCGCTGCTGTTATAAACAAATATTTAAGCACTGAAGCTGATTCTTTAAGCTGCAATTTTWACTCCTTTATAGCTTGAGACTCTATAATGTCATTGTAGGTACTAATAACATTGCAAGAAACTGCCTCCTTGTTCCCAGTGAATGGCACAGGGACTCAGTTAAGTTCAGTTTGGCTGTGCTGGCAGACAGATTGTTGGAGCCCATTTACCTACTCTAGGTACAGACCAGCCCCAAACATGCCCTGGGGATGTAGAGATAAACCTTCAGTACAGATAACTGTTTTGTATTTGACAGTATTTACCTACCTGCCACCAAGRAGCTCCCTATTGTAAACCCAACAAGCTTGTTGGTTGAGCTCTCTTTTTATAATCATTCCTTCAYCTTTCTCATGGCTGTGTTACTGAACACTTACAAGATCTAAGAGCTTTCCTATTTTTCCTTTTCCTCCTTCTTCACTTATTTAACATCTGTCCCTATTGTTGCCTGAAATTAAATTACAATTTAGTGTTGGCTRTAGATTAAGATCACCTATTCAATTAAGTTTTCTACCATACCCCTTTGACTTAGCTTATAACCCCTGCCACTTTTCAGGATTTTTTTTCCAGGATCCAGTCCAGATTTGAGGAGCTTCACTTACAGTTGTCTGAAGAGTAAATGTGTATGTGAAAACATTCAAAGGAAGAAGAAGGTTTCTCATAGCAACTGCACTTTCTTTGATATGTGATGTCTTTGTGGCYGTTTATTACCCACCTCCTCTTTCCTTTTGTCACCCTTCCATGTTAACATTTTGTTTTCTGAGGTTGGRAGGAAATGTGGGGGTAGGGTGCCACTAGTAAAAGGCAAGGGTAAGTGAGGCAGCAATGCACCCCTGCAGGTGGTGGTCAGACTAAGGGAAATCARGCTCAAATATTTGGATGTGTGCACCATAGAAAAAAGGATGTGTGCACCTCTRTATATATATACCCAGTCTTTCAGGACCCCTAGTTACCAGTAAGCAAACTTCCTTTAAATCTGAGCACCTTTCATGATAATTCACTATGAATTTTAGTATAACACAGGATAGGCTTTCATATTTCCTTACCATTTATACCAAGTAATGATTATTATATTATAATACATTTAGCTCTGCTTTGATTTTTACTGTAGTTTGCGAGAAGAAAAAGGTCTTCTGGAAAATGAATATGAAAGAGCTCTAAAAGAAGAGGTAAATACAAAACATGAGAAAAGCAATATTTTATGTTCTGTTAGCTAACATATAAAAYATCACTGAATTTTTTTTCACAGTGTATTTCTAGAGTTTATTTAAAATAGAATACATAGAAAAATAGATTTTTAAAAGAAGAAGATTTTATAGGCTATATTATATCATTCAATTTTGATAACTCTTGGGTAAGTAATAAATAACTGATTCAGAAAAAAATCTGGATTTTTTGTTTACTTAAGAACGTATTTACTATATTCAGCAAATAGATACTACATTTAAAGATAGCTGCAGATTTTTGGTTCTAGGATGTGAACATGAAAAATACATTTGCAGTCATAAATTCTGAGGAATATATGTGGCTTTGTTGGAAATAAAATTCTGTTAGTATTGATGGAAGGAACACACATCTGGTAAAAAAAAATCCATTCCGTATCTTGCCACTAAACATCATCTTTCAATGTGAGTCTGTATTATCAGAAGCCTGCAAATGTAAGAGGGAAAATACAATTAATCTGRTCTTTTACTTTTAAAGGAAAATGATGCAATTAAACAGTTGAAAGAAAGTTGTGATGAGCTCAGTGAAGAAGTGATCCAGAGGAAAGCAGAAATTGATTCAATAAAAGAAGCTATTTCATCCAAGGAAAAGCTTATATTGACAGATGAGGAAGAAATGGAAAAGCTTCAGGAGATGCAGACTTATTTAAAAGTAACACAAAATTAATTGTGCCTATGTATCTAAGTGTGTGTGTGTGTGTGTGTGTATATATGGATACATGTTTTGTCCAAAGGAGCAGTGAGACTTTGGGATGTTGATTGTCATTCCAAATTCATTATGTCATTACATTAAATTTTAGACCATTTTTCAACAGGCATGAAATATGCTGCTGTGCCATATCCTTATTACTCCTTTAGGAAATAATAATGGTCACGGTTTTGATTAAAAAGTTGTTTCTATGAAGACATCTTAGCTGTGTTGTGTTATTGTAAGTAGCTCAGATTTCAGCTAATACAGATTTTTGCTGACAATTAAAAACATACCTGGGTCTACTTCTGTCCATARTATAAATAGGACAATAAGATGGATTAATAATATTCAAGCAGAGTTTTTATCTTGGAGGCATACTAAAATCATAAATRTGAATGTTTTGTTTCAAAAGTAGCAGCTACAATTCCCTGGGACAAACTCAAGTAATTAAAAAATATGTTTCCTAATGATTTTCACAGCAATTCTAAGTCAATATTACTTCTATGAATATGCATCAGCTTTTGAGGCTATTAATCACATSTTTCTGTTTTGTCACTAGGCTGAGCTAGTTAGGATCCTTGGTGTTCCAAAGCAACTTGCAAAAGAAACTGAGAAGTTGAGTCAGAAAAAAATGTATGTTTTTAATAAATAATTCTATATGCATGAGTATACATATATATGTATGTACGAGTTCTTCTCATCCCTTGGTTACAGAAATGATTGAGGATAGTTGTTGATTAAAATTAGGGTCAACATTTAAACTGACACTTCCACAGCTGACAGTGTGGCTTGAGCTACAAAGCCAGTTTCCCTTGGTCCTGTATCAGTTTTTGAATCACAGGTGCCTTGCTATAAGGTCCTGACATGAATTGCATCTCTAGTACTTCATTGGGGAAATKTAAGCCAGCTAGCAGCCTTTTATTTCTCTCTCTTGTGTAGCTGGGGTTTTTCTTCTCTGAAGAAGCATGTGCTGTTTTCTGCAAGTGTAAAATCAAATGAGCACAGAGCACTTTCAGTCTGGTCACTCACAGATCCCAGCAGTCCAAATGCCATCCAGATGAGTGATGGGTTTYGTACCTTGTTTGTGCACAGGGTTATGCAGAAGTTTTTGTGTCTCCTGCTTCCAGTCCCTATTGTTATACAGAAACTTCTTGACTATGTAAAATTTCWCAAGTTTAAAACTTGTATGATGATTTTCTTCAACATTTTCCGCACTGCTTATTGTAACTCTGCCATCACAAATCTAAGAAGTTTGCCCTATAGTGTTACAGAGAAGCAATTTCTGAAACCTACATAATGCAGATTGCTATTAATTAAATATTTAAATTAGTATATTTGTATCACATAACAGAACATAACAGTCTTAGGAAGAATATTTAGAAGTGTCATACCCATGTATCTAGTAATGTTGCYAGAAATCAGTTTACTAGGACTGTTTTTGATACTGTCATGGTGCTGAGCTGTCACTTAGCCCCATGGTTATCTGCAATTTTATTGCTGGACTATATTGGAGTTTGAAGGTTTTTGCTGTCTGCTTTCAAACATATATTGTTGTGAAATTATTTTGTGTGTCCACAAAAACTGACAACTTACTTTTTGTCTTTTAAATATGCATGTGGAAAATTTAACCCTTACTGCTTTGTTAAAATACATCCACAGAGATGCAGAGAAGAAGAATGAAGCCCTTAATGACCAAATAGAAGAATTGACTAAAATCCTGAAAGCTGCTGAAAGAAGGACTGAAGAGATTTTGCAAGAAAGAGACAATGTAATGAAGGAATTGGAAGAGAGAAAAACTTTGATAGAAAACAATGAACGAGAACACATTACTTTGACAAAATTACTAGAAATCAGCACAGAAAAGGAATTAGCCATCCTATCAGACAGGTTAGAGACATGAGCCATGTGGAAAGAGTGAATAATTCTCTGTTCTCAAAAGTCTATTTTTTTTTCTCTTGTATTGCTTCTATTTTCAAGTTTTATGCTGCAACCAGTGCAGATTAGAAATGAACAGGCTTGGTCTTGACTTCAGAAATTTTTACATAAAAATCTGGTATCTGGAATCTAGGATCTGGCTTGAAGAAGAACATCAAAAAGCATATGCATTTGATAAAATCCTATGAGATTTTGCTCTGAAAAGTGAAATATTATAGAGGGTTTCTCTATTTTTTTTTTCTGTGTAACCCACTGAAAGTGAAGTTCTTTGRAGAAAAAAGTATGTCAGTATTTTCATTTTCAAATGAGGATCACAGATGTCTGCACTCACGTCTCCTGAATTTCAGTGGGGATCGGTTAATCATCTTTTTTATAYTCCCTTCAATTATGATTTTATATTAATTGGCAAGGTAAAATAAACTGTTAGGTTAAAGGCAAGATTCAAATGATTCCTTCTTTGCAGAGGCAGAGGTATAGTTGYAATGCTGGCCATATGCTCAGCAACAATGCTTTTGCCTTTCAAGTTTTGTATTAAAGGCCCATGTCATCTTACTTTGAAATGTTCCCTCATACTAAAATATGTGTTTCCTTCTTCCTATATGTCCCTGAAATTTTTAACATGTTTAGAACAGACTGTGAGACTTCATTGACATAATTAGGGTATTGTAATTGATTAAAGTTATAAAAATRCTGCCTTTTTWGATAATTTTTGTCAGTAGTTTACARGTTTGTCTTGCTGTTGATCCATAATGATGAGGTACTGCAAACCCACTAAAACAGTCATAYCTGTTTACATATATGTCTTGATTAAGTTATCTGTTTCTAAAATTCTGTGTCTATYTATATAGACAAATTCTGGAAAATAATTTAAATAAATATGCCTTGGAGAACAAAAAGCGACASGATAATCTCAGTCACCATCAAACACAGAAAGATAAAGAACTGAAAAATTTAAAAAAGTTGGAGTTACAACTGCAAGAGATTTTTGATTCCTTGGAAGGAGATAAGGCAAAGCATAAAAGGCTCAAATTTGAGGTCTGTATGAATGCATTGTTCATAAAGATTGTAAATTTTCTTRTCACAGCCCTATAAGGGGAAAAGGAAGAAGACTTATTTAATTCTCTCTTTCTTATATATGTTTTCTCCCATACTTGCTCCYTGCTTAGTCTAGATTCTGAGTCATATAAAATTAATCTTGTTTAGTCAGGTAAATATTTTTTCACAGGAGTTGATGTTTCCTACCTTAACATTGTCCTTGAAATTTTTCTTGGTCCTTCTAAGCAATTCAGGGGAGAAAAGTCTTACATCATTGTAAAGATTTAAAAAATAACTATATKATATTAAAACTTATACATAATTAGCTTTGCTCTTTAAACAGCTCCAAGTATTACTTGATAATATTTAATCTTGTTAAACARTATTTTTTTTGTTTCCCTTGAAATTCCTCCTCAATTCACATGGGTATYACCTAGTAATATAAGCTCACCTGGGAGAAGGGAGGAAAGCTTTATAACTACACAACAAAGTTTTGATTGAATTTCCTGAAATAATGATTAAAGGGCTGACTCATATTCRATACTTTGATCTTAAAGCTTAAAGAGTTTCTGTTTAATATCAGCTAAGAGAATCTGGGAGATGGTATTTTTTCTTGTGTTCCCATCGAAGAAATATTCCTGGATGAAGAACTACAATTGTTCTAAAACATTTATTGCTAAAATCAAATGCCATAACTCACCAGCAGCTGTKGTTAGAGTTCACAGTCCGGGGTGAGATCCAAACCCATCCCAGTCCAATTCCTTCACACTGTGAAAGGACAAGGCCTTGTTTGCATCTTACAAATAGCATGATGAGTAGGGGAAAGGGATTGCCACGAGAGACAGAAGTAGAATTCTAATCAGTATTTTCCTCCAGCAGCTCCAGGATACTACTCTAATGCAAACAGGCCACAGCAATAGAGTTGTTTTAGGCCATTCTCCTGTGATCAGTGTTTTTTCTGATTCCTTTTCTGGCACTGTTAGAAGAGCAAATATTCAAATATTAAGCCGCTGCTCCTCTACAGCATGGCCAATTCAAATGCAGTAGTGCAGTAAGGAAGAGTCAAGTGGGGAGTTTGATTCTGCTTGGCTTTTGCTATATTGGAACAACTTTTATTTTATAATACTCAGGAGCACACCTAGCAAAAAAATTTAAAAAATATTTTAAGCAGATAAAATTTCTTTAACTTAAAACCCCAAATTTACATTTATTGATTKGGATTAAAAGTGAAAAAAATCACAAGAATTAATTGTTTAAATATGTGATTTCAGAAGGAGCAGTACATCAGTGTGGTTCCCCAAATTTCCCCTTTTTGAATCATATGCTAAGTGCAGAATGACTGGTTTGTAGAATAAGGAAATTACAAGAGCACTTTTTTCAAATGTGTTTTTTTCCCGTTAATAAGTTGTGAAAGGTCAGCTATTGCTAAACACCGACATTGTGTGTGAAAGAGAACTGCTGGTCCCACTGTCGCCAGCCCAGAGCAGAACTGCTGCTCCTCTCCATGTGGGCCTTCTCTTTGGTCAGGCCAACCCAGAGACAGCCAAAAGTGCCTAAGTTTAGCCCTGTCTTATGTGAATAAAAGTTCTTAATGGATTAAAGATGTTTATATGAGCTTTTTGCGTTTACACAGAAGAAGTGGTAACTAATATATGCTCCACAGAAAAACTATTTTTGCTCCCATGATGAGAGAAAGTCACTTTCATAGGACAGACTTTACTAACCTTTTAGTAAACCTAAGTTAAATGAAATCTCRGAACTGGCAGCTGCAACTCCCCAGTTTGACCTTTACTGTGTCTCTTGTTTCCCTTTCCCTTAATACAAGTGAACAGCATTTAATTTTATGATGTTATCAGTGAAGTGAAAATCACAAGTGCAAAAMATCTACTTCTCAGTATTGATTTGTAGTGTTTTGAACTCTAACATCTGGTTGAGATCTGAGCAAGATRTTACAGGGTCGTGTGTATTATCTTTGAATATTTTCCAAGTGTGTTGTCAAATGTAACATTTTTCCCACCCATATGAATTACAGATTTGCAATTAGAATCATTGAATCATAGAATCATTTAGGTTGGAAGGGACCTTTAAAGGTCATTTGGTCCAAACCCCTGCAACAGGCAGGGACACCTTTATCTAGATCAGRTCAGTCAGAGCTCAGTCCAACYTTTCCTTGGATGTTTCCAGGGATGGGGCATGAACCACCTCTCTGGGCAACCTGTGTCAGTGTTTCACTAACCTTGTTGAACAAAATCTAATTGTCCCTCTTTTATTTTAAAATTAATACCCCTTGTCCTATCACAAATGTTTCTCCCCATCAACTACAGAGAGGCAACGTATGCCTGCATAGTTAGCCTGATGTATTTGTTTGTTTACTTCAATAAGTTGCTGAGGAAGTCTACTCAATGAAGCATTCTTGTGCTAGCTATTATAACAGGAAAGACAATTAATTTCTTAATTTGAGTCGCTACTTCTAATAGGGTATCTGCATTTTACATTTTCCTCATTTTTTGTTTGCATCACTCTGTGCTTGGTTTATTTTTGTAGGCAGAAGTTAATGCAAAAGCCAATGCAATATTATTAGAAAGACGACGAGACCTGCAGGATGAAATCGAAACRATCAAGAGAGGTTTAGCTGAACAGGTGCTGAGTCCTGCTTTTCATTTTAACTGTTGGTTTTCTATCATGATAATAATGGGACTGTTTGAAAAAAAATAATAGGAATTTCTAGCTGCAGTTTTCTGGTGAGAAAATGTGGTATTTGTTCAGTTTTAAAGACCACTTGTCTTTCATTTTTGAAAACATTTTTTTGTGTTACTGGCCATAGCCTAGAAGGTAGAAAGCAAATCCGCTTATTAGTTTAAAAGTCTTTCTGAATGTCAATAATGACACTGCAGCTAGAAACATATTGTTATAGATTTCCTTTGAATAAGGAACTGTATCTTATTGCAACAATAAAAATTTAGCATTTGTACATTATCATTTTTCATCTTCATKGTTGTGTCATTTATGGATGTCTATCTGTACTCAGCACAGCCATACAGAGTGTGGAAATGCAGATGTCTGCCTTACAAAAGCATCAGTACTTGCCACTACACAAATGACTTTATAAGAAGCTATCTATTTCAGACACACATTCTTAACATCAAACCTCCTYGTGTTCTCACCCTTATATTCATTTTCTTTATGTGTTTTGTTGGAATTCATTAACATTATCAGGTGARATTCAGCTTGTATTTGGATACATATGTGTTCAGTACCTGCACATCAGTCTTTGGGATGTGTAAGTTTGTGTGCCACAGACAGACATGCAGTCAATGGAGCCTAGGAAGCTTCCATTCACCTCCTCCTGAAGACCTGACACCAAACTTATTTAAGGTTTATATAGCTATAAAGACTCATTCTGTTTAATGGACAATACCTGATGTTAGACTGAGGAACAGAAATGCTCCTAGGTGATAACATGTTTTGAAATATTATTACAGGGATTTTGCATGGTGTTTTAAAACAATAATTTATTATTATTTTAAATCTATGTAGTCTGTATATTTGTTTACATTGCAGATAAACCCGAAGTATTTCCAACTTTGGGTTTGCCAACTGACACATTGTTGCATTAGTATTTAAATTTAATCTTCTTTAGGAAATGATATCAGATGCRGATGCCCGCGTGTTAGAGGAATGCATTGCTAAAGAACGCTTGCTTTTCAAAGAGCAGGAAAAATGGAGAAATGAGTTATCTGCACTTACACATCTGACTTCAGTCAGAGCTAATGAGAAGCAAATGAAATGCAGGAATGCTCAGAAAGCCAAGGTAAAAAATGACGTATTTGGAAGACTGTTCAAAAGCACAAGCTGGTGGAGGGAGAAACTAAATTACCAGTGTTGGGAGCACTGTGAACTATTTCCCACCCTAGCTTTGAAGCTCCATCAGAACASCAGAAGCTCACAGTACTGTGGTGTTTTATTGTCAATTTGTAGTGCCGTGGTGCAGTGTATTAAAATATCACTCCATAATTGAAACAAGGTATTTAAAASGACATTTAGAGAGTTCCCAGAGGAGGGCAAAGATGGTGAAGGGCCTTGAGGGGAAGCYGTATGAGGAGCGACTGAGGTTCACTTAGTTTGTTCAGCCTGGAGSAGATTTAGGRRAGGCCTCATTGCATTTACRACTTCCTTGTGAGGGCAAGAGGAGGGAYAGCACTGAYCTCTGCTCTGTGGTGAGCAGGGACAGGACCTGAGGGAATGGTCTGAAGCTGTGTCAGGGGAGGTTTAGGTTGGGTATTAGAAAAAGGTTCTTCATCTGGAGGGTGGTTGGGCACTGGAACAGCTCCCCAGGAAAGTGGTCACAGCACCAGCCTGACAGAGTTCAAGAAGCGTTTGGACAATGCTCTCAGGCACATGAGGTGATTCTTGGGGATAGTGCTGTGCAGGGCCAGGAGTTGGACTTGATGATTCTTGTGGGTCTCTTCCAAATCAGCATATTCTGTGATTCTGAGAGTCTTTGATTTTTCTTTCAAGCCTATGGAATAAAATGAACAGTTTGAAAGGTGACAGAAAAACACATAAACTCCCCTGAGATTCTCAGAAGTAAAACTGTGTGATTTATTTTACAAWTGTATGGACTTTAGAAGATAAACTGAACTACTGCTCATTCCAAGGAGACACAGAAATTTCTATTTTCCTGTTACATTTGAAAGCATAAATAATTATATTGGTTTAGAGAAAGAGGGAAAGAAAACTTTGCCTATGACTACTCATTGCATTTGCTGCCCACATTTTGCTGGCATTGCATGATGTCACACAGAATTTACTAAATACCAAATCGCTATATGGGAACAAGGTATTTATGTTTCCAAAATGTATGTCTATTCAGATAATTTAGATAAGATACCCTTCTACCATCCTGGGAAACTCTGACTTGTCTTTAAAAATTAACAAACAAGTCTGACTTTGTACCCTGAATAAAAATCAGCCCATAAACAAATAAAACAAATATAACAATACAAATTCAGGAACAYGGAGACAACCCCAAAGTTGCAACCCATCATCCATCAGCTTTCCCTAATACCAATCTCCTCCTGATACCAGTGGGAGGGGAGAAAACACCTGTCCATTTAAGATTGATGGCCCAGGCTATTGAGGACTGAACCCAACTGGAATAAAAATATCCAGAGKCTTAACAGAATCCAAGTGTACATTCTGCTCACACATCAGTGATTGCTTAAAGTCAGAATTGAGTAAAAAAAGATTTTTTGTTTGTRAAGGTACAATTTCAATGGTTCATATGCCAAACAATTATATAGTGATAGAATTGACAGGCTGATCAGTAGAAACAGCTGAATCCCAGATACAGGGAACCAAGCATTTAAGATACAGCATCAAATTATCTACGTTACTCGTGGTCATTGTAAGCTTAATATAAATGGAAAAACTGTGCTGTTTTATTTTGTTGTAATAAAAAAATTTCATTATAATTAGAAACATTTCTTATAATAATGTCCCCTCACTGTCTTCCTCATCTAAGAGTTGTTCTGAGTAGTTTACTGGGGACATTTCTTCAATATATCTCAAGTACTCACTAAATTCTATTTACATTTCAGATTCACCTCCAAAGTGTTACTAAGGAACTAAAAAGAAAGGATCGTGAACTAATCACCTGTAAAAAGATGAAAAGAGAAATCCAAAAAGAGTAAGAAAATAATAGCAATATAAAAAAGGTCTTCTAAAGCAACTTTTATCCAAATAATATACACATAAAAGTCTAATAATTGTTTCTTTCACTCATCTCATTTCTTTAGACTTCAAGCAGTTGCTAGAATATATGATGTTATGCAAGCTGAAAAGGATAAATGTATAGAGTTGATGGGTATTGCTCAGTGTAAAGCAAAGGAGGCTGAAAACCGGGTAAAATTACTAGAAAATCAAATACAAAATTTAAGGAATATTGTTGTAGCCAAGGAAAGGTGAGTTTAAAGTACATGGTAGTTCACAATTATAGAAATGTAAGATTGGAAAAAATCTTAGGGGGAAATCTATTCCATCTTCAATTATGCCCATATCATCCATGATAGTTATTATCCTGATTTTAAAAATCTGATTAAAACAAAAACATTTAGCAACACCTCTCCATAATCTGTTCCAATTTCTTATCCCACTAACACTTCACAACTAGCTTGGGCATCACTGCTTGACAAGAAAGCACTTTTGAAGTTTGACAACTCCCTCACTTTCCCATCTTTTATATCACAGCTCTTGGATCTCTCCTTTTTTACTGTTATCATTGTTGCATTCAGTGTGGGCATCACTGTTGCACTCCTGTTTGCTGACCTTAGAGAAAAAGAGGTCTGACACATATGATTCCCCAATGAAGTGGCATATGGGACTTTTAAATGAGTCACTAGCTAGGAATGTGGCTAATTATTAAATTAGAACAAATTGGGGATTTTAGTTCAAACTCACATTGAAGTTTATTGGATAATATTTATTTCAGATAAAATGTGGTTTCAATTTCAAAGCAATCTTAGAAAAAATGAAAGGTTACATTCACAACAAAGAAAATGAGGCAGAACAGCTGATGCTTGTGACTCTTTTTTCCTAGAAAAATATTTTGTGGGGATACCTTTTTCTATCTTTTTGCAATTCTAGTGATGATATTCTTAAATATAGATGGAATTATAATGCCTTGAAAATCAGTACTTGGGCAAGTRGGGAGACACTGAATAGCCAACTGTGTAAACAAAACAGGAAAACCAAAACTGAGTAGTTAAAAATAACCTGACTTTCCCAAAACTTCAGTATTTGGTGCCAAAAAAATTGCTCAATCAGAGAGAGAATACACCARCTATTTATTGTGGATCTCCTAATAGTTTGAATTCAAAGTCATGCTGGAGACAGCTAAAAAAGAAGTGGAACTTCAGTGATTGAAGTGATTTTATCAAGATGTACAAGCTGACATTTTGGGGTAAAATTTTTGAGGCTTTCCCAGTTGAGGAAAGTAGAGGAATAAATGGCTAATAACTCATAAATATTGTATAGATATCAGAAATACATAATTATTATAGATGACCCTACTTAGTACAGATCCAACAGATATTTTGGTCTCTGCAAACCTAGATTTAAAACTAGTCAGATATTGAATTTTCAGTAACTGTCTTGCCTATGAAAAATATCATTTATCCCAGTAGCAGGCTTTAGTATCAGTCTCATTGACTTCACTGTAACCTATACAAATTATCAGTCCAAGAAACACAAATTTTCAGAAAATATTTCAAACACGTTRCATTTCTGCAATACTGTCATACTTTAATTCTGAATCTTGACTTACAGAAGTTTAATTGAATTCAATAATACCCTGAGGTACTCAAAGTTCTGTATATGTGAGCGAAATGAAAGAATGCATCTCCCTGCCCTGAATACAGCAATTCAACAGCCTAATGATGAATCCCAGATATTTCATCTGCAGGTCTATATTTTAACAGGAGACTGTGCTTCTCCTTTCACTACCTCTTTTGTATGTTGTTGTGAATATCTTCCCAGTGTAGATAATGTGTCTCGATCCAGAAGTGATACTTACCACAGATGAAATGCAGCACTCTTAAGTTCCGTGTTGTGAGCAAGAGAATGGTCCATGTGCTGACAAGAATCTGTCTTTTAAGTAAAGGACWGTCATCCACTGATCAACAAGACTGCTGGAAATTATGAGATCTGTTCTTCATTTTCATKTGACCTTGTCACTAATCTTCCACTATGTATTTTTTTTTTATATCTGTCGAATCAGCAATCTGATAATTTTCTTTCTTGTGTTAATGTTGCAACACATTTTTTTATAAACAAAAAATTTGGAGAGCTTTGAGTTGCAACCACAAAGTTTTTAAAATGTTCTTTAAATAGAAGGGCAGGATTTCTACACATTAAGACTTTTCATCACTGCTTATGCTTCTGCTCTTGAACTTTATTTTTTATAGGTACTTGGGTTACCTAGTAGAGAAGAAAAGAACTGCAGTGCAGTGTTCCCTATATAGCATTTTTCTTGTGCCAGAATCMATTTCTTCTTACACTGGAAAGAGCTTGCAAAGGAAAACTCCTCTCAGAGAGTCTTCCTTCTTGTTATGCTTCTGTGAAGTAGAGACATAGAGGAGCCTTTGTGTGCTTGAGAAATAAATCTAAGCTCTGCTTTTAATTGCTGAAATTGGTTTCAAATTAAAAGAACTAAAAACACTCCCACATTTCTGTTATGTTAAAGAAAATTGCAGGATGTGTATCTGAAGATTAAAAAGAATGAGAGAGCGACAGAGTTGCTCAGAAGGGATTATTGCAAAGTTGARCAAGAGATGCTAGAGAATAAAGAAAAGGAAAAGTATTTGAATGTTGACAGACTGACCACTACAGCSACACTCATGGAAGAGGAAATTTTGCAGCTACGTAAAAATAATGAAAGGGCTGTTCAGCGAAAAAATGAGAGGTACATTTGTAAGTTTGATCTAAGGTAGTGTTTAATTTTGACGTTCACAAAGTAACAATATTTTTCAGCTTATGAGCACTCCTCATTAGGAATGCTAAATGTCTGTGGCACTGCAATGTTCCACTGACAAATCTGCCTCACTGCACTGCCAGTGCTGCTTTGCATTATGTAGATGTTTCTCCAGTGRTGATCATGCTCATTCTTCAGAACTATTATTCAAAAATTATGGTAGCTTGGCTACAGAACACCTTGAGAACTTGTAGCCTCCTCCTGTTTGTAGATTGTGCGCAGGTAAGGTATAAAAATGCAGATTATCTAAATCTCTGATCTTAATCCATTTTTAAATGCTGTGGAAGGCYGGAAGACCTTAAAAGTTATGTGAGAGACAAGAGTAACATTTCCAAGAGTTTGTTCTCTGATTTTCACATTGCAATTATTTTGTTACTTATTTAAAATGCTGTCATTAGATTAAAATAATATTTGTGAAAGCTTTGTACATTTTCCCAGATTATAATTATCTCTTAAAACACTTGTTATATTCTCAAACGGAATACACTGAATATAAGTAATATTTTTTAAATTATCTTTTAATTTTGGCCTTATTTCAGTGGTCAATTGCTCAGAGAACGAGAAGAAGAACTAAGCCTTTTATATGAAAAAGTAAACAGGCGAGAGATGTTGTGTAAAAATGGAGATATTAAGATGCAAGTAATGGATGAAAAGATCAGTTTTCTGAAATTGAARGTAGCTGAGAAAAAAAGAGAGATTAGATTGTATTTTGAAGAGCTTCCAGTGAAGAATGCCCTGGATGCAAATCTGATGAAATTTCAGATACAGGTTGGTGTTAAAGGAAGCCTTTTTTTACTATCATTTTGTATTTTAAAATTTCAGGTGATTTCATAGAAAAAGAAGTCTGGATGTGCAAGGCTTATTAAAATGGCAAATTTAGTGATTCACCTGTCTAGCAAAACAGTGATATACATTTTTAACTTCACAGATGTGAGTTTCTATGCTTATGTGTAACTGGCTGATGCACTTTGTTTCACACATACCAAATGCTCCTTGGCTATGGAATCCCAGCTAACCCACCCCATAGCCTGAAATGTCAGTATGACTAAGCTGGAGAATGGGAGTCATGGGGGAAAAATGGGACTGTAGATAACATTTGTTAAAACTGTATTGATGGAGTAGGTGGAGGGGTGGGAGATACACTTAGACCATCAAATTTCTAAAATAATAACTCAATTCACACTTGACCCTGAGCCTACTCTGGAAACTCTGCTGCCTACAATGATCTAATCCACATATATTTTCTTCTGCACAGAAACAGTTTAAGTTTTAGTTCTAGTTCCAAAATAGCATAAAACAACGAATAGACTGCAGTGCTTGGGACATTCTTTCCTTGCTTTCTGAAATGGCTCATTTACTTTTGACCTTATCTCCAGATGGTAATTTTTCCCATACATACTCCATCAATGCCTGCACAAATTCATAAATTAGGGTGCACCATTGCCGTTCAAACTCACATCGATGGGAGYTGTGACTCATTGTTTAATAGTGCTTGCACTATTCTCTTACATCTGGCCTTTTAAAGAAA